CATATATTAAATATACATATTAATAGATATTAAAAGTCTTTCTATAGTATACTCTTTTTTGCCTCCAAACAAAGCTTGCTTTAAAGACTCTCTTTTTGCTTATCACTCTCTCTGTCTATATCTGTCATTCTCTTTTTCCCACACATTTAAATAAGCATATATGTTTGCATGTGTATGTGATTACTAATGAGTTTATGTCACATAGACATATGGATGAATAAATGAACCTGAAATAAATCCATGCTCTACTCACCAAATTATACATACTGACATGAGACGGGTTCATGTAAAACATGGGTATTAAGAGAATCCGACTACCAAGCTGATGTCTGCAGGGTAGTGTCTGCCCTGGAGCAGGAAATGACCTCTGTTGATTTACATATAGGAACCATATGGGCTGGAACTGGGGGTTCTGAATGGACACTTGTGTGACCAGTCTTCTGTTATATTCCTATGAGTTCATAAAAAAATAATTCCCTAGAACAAGAATCTAGTGCATACTTAAGTGAAGGTTTTTCAAGCAGTCAGTCTCAGTTCAGATCTCATTTTGGCCTTCTGTTTTCCGTGAGCAAGTCACTTCTTCCCACGATTTCATTTCTTCGGAAGAATAATAGAAATTACTTCATAGAATAGAAATTACTACCATGAGTAGATTATATGAGACAAAGCATACAAAATGTGTGCTATGAGTTTCTTTTCTATTTATAGTAAATGTATGGTACTCACAATTTTTGTCATTGGCATTGTCATTTTCCAATTTTCTAAAAAATTTAAATATAGAAAAAATACAAGCTAAAATAAAATAACTAAAATTTTACCCCACAGACAAAGGAAAAACTTCACTGTTTAAACTGAATTGGAATGTGACCTTGAGAGGTATTTACAAACGTTCAGTGTAGCATACAAAAGAAGTTTTATGGATATCTGCATACATTATATTGAAGTTTGAATTTTACATAAATAGAAGATAAAGGATCACATATACAGACTAAAGATTTTACAAATTGTTTTTTCCTTTTTAGTCATTTTATTGGGGCCTCTTACAGCGCTTATCCCATTCCAGACATCAATTGTAT